TTTTACCTTCTTACCCATTTATCAATTCACTGTATGTTACTATCTCAGCCATATCTTTGCCATTATATTTCTCACTCAGATTTTTTCTTTTACCTCTTTTTTTTGTTTTGTCATAAAAGATGATTTTTTACTGAAACTAGTTTTAATTGTTGCTCAGAATTTATAATGCTTTCATGAAGTTTAAGGATCAGTGAATTCTAAGTCCCACCAGAAGAATAAAACTGACCAGAAATGATCACAAGTGACATTGTTCTGAGTTAGCTGCTACAGATATGAAATCAGTGTGGCAAAAGGGGTTAAAATTCATTACACTTTGGAATCATATGTTGTAGGGCCTTAGGAAATCACACTACAGCAGAATTTTCTAATGTATTTCCTCAGTGTCACTCGCTAGAATGAATCGATGTATAACATTAAGTAAGTTACAGAAGATACAAGTTAAATAAAGATGAGCAAGGATATTTTTCTATAGGACTTTTCAGAACCTTTATGAAGCTTTTGTATGTTGTGAGTTTCCAAAAACAAAAAAATGGCACATAATTTTCTCCAAAGTTTTTATTTGGAATGCCATTTTCATGAAGCATATCAAAGATATGGTGTTTCACAGAACTTTAGTTAAAGCTGACCTGGAAGTATTGCCCAAATCATGGTCAAAACATGTTTGGTTCCTGAATCGGATCTTCCCCTCCATCTATACAATTCAACTGCAGGTTACCCTACCAGAAGTCCAACTCACTGTTTTTGAGAATTTTCGTCCTTAGATACTAGATTGAATAAAAGCCATGCAGGCTTTTATTTTTTTCAGTAGACTTTGTTTTTCTTCTGTACATGCTTTACTAGTTGAAGCCTTTAGAAAAAATGGCACTCCCATGCAATGCCCAGCAGGTCCCCACAGTGAGAGTGGAAATTATGGTATCTATGATAGAAGATAAAAACAAAAGAAAGAAAAGAAAAATAAGAAATATAAATATTTTTTAGGATAGTATTCCAAATATATTTTTGAAATTATTCTTAACTCCTTATGTGGTCCTAAATCAACAACTTAATGATTTGGGAGTCTAGCATGGTAAAGAATAAGTAAGTTCACATTACAAGTTTCTAGCAGCATTAATACATTTCCTAGATACATTTTGCCAATTTGGTAGTCTTCTTCACTAGATATGTATCCACACAGTCTATTATGAATGGGTCTCATCTAACTTAAACTTTAATATGAGAATGTGTGTGACTTTCAACATGTATCACTTGGGTCAGTAATTGGTGACTTCTATTCTCAGCATCTTTTCTAACCTAAAGTTTATTTATTTCTCAACATAACAACTGTTGCTTTATTGACATTCAAAAAATAATTGAAAATTAATATGTATGAATATGCACATATATCCACTCATTTTGTAACAGGAAATAAGCAAGATAGCATATACTCTATATACTTCACATCTGCATTTTCTAATTAGCTTTCTTTTGTAACTGTCTCTGATTAGATGTAACTTTATTTTCCCAACTAAGAAAAAAAAATTTTCAAGCTGCTATGAAAATCTAATCTGCGATAATGCAAATATAACAAAAATAGAAAACTATGTGTTATTTTCAAAATTTTGCATAGAACAAGATTATTTTAAAACACTTGTAAGTTAGAGTTTTATTAAAATTATATGCAAAATGTGAGAGAAATGGATACAAAGAATATAGGCTTGAGGTGGAATGAATATTCCATATTTACACATGCATAAAAACACAAATGACTATTTGTACAGGAAATTCAGGAAATTGATGTATTGGCAGAAATCCCTTCTGGGAGTCCCCCTCCATGGTCCATTGGCTAGGACAGTCAAAAACCATTTTTAAATGGAGGCTCGAACATGCATCTCTAGTCTCCTTCTCTTTGTTCTATTTAAACTCCTTCTTGATTCCCTCCTCTGGATTTGGCCTTGCTCTGGATTATAAAACCAGGTTTGTCTAAGCAGGAAAAAAAATATATAAGAACTCTTAGGAAATAGGAAAAAAAGAAGAGGAAAAAAAAAAAAAAGAGTCTAGCCGCAAAGTTATCAGCTGCATCACTCTTCCAGTCTCCTTGCTTTCCTCTAAGGGGCTGCATTTCACTAGCTGAGACGCCTTGGAGAACTGAGATAGCCTTTCACACACCTGGGTTTCTCCATGCTGTGGACTATTACAAATTCTACCCCTAACCTCCTGACAGCCATGACTTCCTCCTCCAAAGATCTGCTCATGAACCTGCCCCAATTTCTAGCAATACCTTTCTGAGTATGGCTCGGTTTTTGACTCCCAAGTATCCCAAATGTCATTTTGAAGTGTCCTCTTCCATAGCTTATGACCAGTGAGCCCTGTTCCCTAATAGGTAATCCTTATCAGTTTAGACTTTTGCTACCTGTTGTCAAAGTCCTCAAAGCAACTTTTACTACTGTTTACTCAATTGATTATTTATGTTATTTTTCTCCATATCATTGAAAAATATTAATTTAATATAAAAAAACCCTCTCTTTTTCCTTTATAGTGAATCTTACTAATGGCTTTTATAACACACTTGTCCAGGAGAGGCTTAAGAGAGATCTTAAACTGAGGTAATCGGCATGCTAAAGGAAGCAAAGCCCACTTCATTTGCCCTTATATAGGTAGGAGGATACTTACATCATTTTATAGGCTTTTGGTAAATGAAGTAGCAAAGTGGCACAGCTTTTTATATTTCAAAGGAAACTTTATATTTGAAGTTTCTGATAACTTACTGATACTCTAAAAATATGAAAATCCCTTCCAGAAATGTAGCCATGCCAACAATGCTCACAGGTACAAATGTTCTCCAATAAAATCAGAAGAAAAAGGGAAATGTGAGACAGAATATCTTGAATGTTCAGTCCAAATTTGAGTCAGTTTGCCCTCAATAAGTCTATTATAACAAGGCTTTCAATCACAATTATGCAGCAAGGAATAAGAATTCAGACCCTGTGATGGACCTTCTAATCATGTGGAAGGCGGCACAGTGAAAGGTCAGGCCAGTTATTAAACCCAGAGGCCATAACAGATACCTTGGCAGTGATGCTTCCAATAGTGTTGGAACCACATTTCCTGGGTTTGAACTTCAGCTCTGTGTGACAGCAGCTATTTCACCACTCTGTCTCTCTGCTTTTTTTTTTTTTAAATAGGCTTAATAATAGAATATACTTAGTGGGGTTTTTATGAGGATTAAACGAGACAATAAAATTGCTTAGAACAATAGTGATTATTATCACTACTGGGTCAATATAGGTTAAGTACTTTTATTGGCCATGTTATGTGCCATGAACTTGTTCTGTGGGCAGGTATAAGCCCATACACATGTGGCTTTGGTCTTTCTCAATCTCTTTAAGAAGAGAGAAAGCATGGCCTTAGCCATATGACTAAAAATGTGTGTTAGTCTGCTTTTCATCACTGTGACTAAAATACATGACAAGAACCCCTTAGTGGAGGGGTGATTTATTTTGGCTCACAGTTTTAGAGGATTCAGTTCATGGTCAAATGACTCCAAGGCCAAAACATGGAAAAAGGGTGTGGCAGAGAAAAGATGTTCAGATCATGGCAGACTGTAAGCCGAGGTGACAGAAGCTGGGGGGTGGGAGGCAGGAATAGATATAGTCCCCAAGCCACACGCCCAGTGACCTACTTCCTTCAGCCATACTCCACCTGCCCATGGGTAGCACTTAGTAATTCACCCAAATTATTAATTCATCAAATGATCAATCCACTCATGTGGTCAGAGCTCTCATAATCCAATATTTTCACTTCTGAACATTGCTGCATCACCTAGCCCAAGAGATTTTGGGGGGACATTTTGAATCCAAACTCTAAGAGGATTAAAACATACTTTGGAGATTCAGGTTTGTGCAGGGATAGAAATAAAGCAGGTCTTCCTACATCCTCTGATTTGGAACTAGGTAGCTCTGCACAGGACAAACAAGGAGAGTTCTCTGAAGTCTAACCAATTCAACAATGTCCATGCTAAGCTCCGAGGCAAGAAAACCCACTGTCTTATAATAAAGTATTCCTTTGCCCTCGCTTGTATTTCCCTTGGGTTGGGTTTTCTGGTAGAGTCCAGAGTGTAGTGTTTCTTAGCACTTTGTCTTTCTACATGCCGTCCTTATTTCTTTATTTTCTTAATATCATTGTAACCTCATGATTCTGTATTATAATGTAAAACTAAGTAAGCATCAGCTATAAGGAAAACATTATTTTTTTAAGCCTTAATTTTTAGAAGGAGGCTTTATTTTCCTTTTAGGAGTCTTGTGTTGATCGGGCAAGGCAGGACCCTAAACAAAACCAGCTCCTAGTGTTTTGTTGGTGTGCCAGCTCTCCGTACAATCAGCACACAAGCAAAGATTTATTTGGTTCAAATGGGACTCTTCTCTTTTTCTGTGCAAACACTATAGGATTCTCCATGAGCTAAATTGGCTGTCTAAATGACTAGAGAAACTTAGAATTTTGCCAAAGCTCAATGCCTCAAAACCTTGCTCCTCTACAAATCATTCCAGATAGCATTTTCCAGGACAACTTTACTCACTCTAATCATTAAAAATTTAATTTTTCTCAGTCTTTATGTCTGGATTAACTATTAGTTATGCATATATCATTATATTAATATTGTTCAGATACATACATTTTATGCATGTTTCACCTGTCTTCTCCGTTGACTGTAAGAATTTCAAAGGCTGAATCTTACTAATTCCACAATAAATTTTTGCTGCTTAAAATATTTATTCATTCATTTCACAGATATTTGTTGAGCACTCAAGATGGCCTGGTATACAGGGGATAAAAATTTCAATAAGATGCTGTATCCTTTTTACTTCCACACTGAAAAACATGAAATAAATATAGATAATTAAATAATGTTATAAGTGTTCTAACTCTGTTTTAGCAGAGTTAAAAAAATAATAATTGCAAAGGAACCACAATTTTACTTCACATTTCCAAATAGAATCTTTTTTTCTTCACCCCTCTCTCCACAGGATAGTGGCCAAAGCCTCCAAGAACCTCATGTCCACACAAAGCTTAGGGATTGTATTTGGACCCACTCTTCTTCGAGCAGAAAATGAAACCGGGAACATGGCAGTACACATGGTATACCAAAACCAGATAGCGGAGCTCATGCTGAGCGAGTACAGTAAGATCTTCGACTCAGAGGAAGACTGACAGACAAGACAAGTTACTGAATATGTTCACATCTGTCTTGATGCCTAATATTTTTACATTTCTGTAAACATATTTCTGAAATATTTTTTTTCCCTTTCAGGCGACAGATGCCTCATTTTGTGAAAACTTAATGATGATTTTTTGCTTAAGTTCCAAACATTTGAATAAAATAATTGACAATATTTGTCTATACGTGTTCTACATTAACCCCTTCATTGCTGTTCCTTCCAGCACTCTGAGAGTACATCCTACATGTCTCATGTGCGGACTACCACAACCCTAAAGTCTAGCTCCATGCTGCTCCCGGTTTGAGGTGTGAGGGCATGCATGTGTCGATATGGGTGTGCAGAGTGAGTGTAGCTGAGAGTATGGGTATGTGTACACATGTTTACCTTCCCACAATCCGTGCTGCAACAGGCATGTCCCCACACTTCTATATGTCCACTGGAAAAGCAAATGGAAAGATAGAAGCCCATAACTAAGAAATGGAATGTAAGAGCTCATGTTTTGAACCAAAACAGAGATTTCATCTTTCAAGAATACTGTCCAGCTATTCTCTTGTTACATGGTGAAATTTATAAATACAACATGTTGGATGGTAGTTTCTCTGGAGAAAAATCGCAATTCAAAGAATTTTCCATTCAATAATTTTTTCACAAACACAGTTCGTAGTTCTGTAGATGTACTAACTTATAAATTAGAGGCAAACTTAGTTTCCTGCAATTTTGATCCTTATTTTATACAGGAATTTCATGACTGCTCACTTTTAATGTTAACACCCATTTTGAATCTTCATCAAACTGTATGTCTCCCCTTTCTCTGGCTATGTCATTTTATGTAGAATTTTTATTATGCTTCTGAGAATGCTTTATTGGTGAATTACATTAAATCCATCTAGAAAGAACTTTTTTAAAAGGCTTTTTTGTCATATGCCCTAAGGATTACTTGACAAGACTTGGATTGCTTTATCCATTTGATGGTTAGTTTCAGTTGTCATGGATAAACAAAGGGGTAACTGTCTAGAATATATCAAATATTGTTTTATTTTGAAAAGTATGTTCTAGCTGAACACATCTCATGCCCGGTTTTATGAAAGTATTCTGCTGATAAAAATGTAGACTTATGTTTGACAGCTTTTTAATCAAATTCAAATGGAATAAATAAAACTAATCCAGGGTGATAAAGAGTAAGTCTAGTTATCGATTTGTTCATAAAATGAAAAATAAAGCATGTAAATAAAACGCGTGAAGCATGGATCCAAGAGCAAACACTTAGAGCAATAATGAGCTCAGGGCATAGGCTGTGTGCATTGATGGGGTATACAGAGAGGAAGAGAGAGAGTCTGCTCAAGAGATAGCCAGATGTGCACACAGCTCCAGAATCCACAGAGCTGCCTGAGGAAGGACAGGTTCATGGGCCTCTTTCAAATGTCTTTATTTTAGCAAGGTGCCAGTAAATGGGTTCATGGTCAAAGAACAGAGAAGCATCCACATAAATGCTGAAGTGTGGTTCATTGAATGGGATGCATATGTGTACCACAAAGCCAAGAAAAGTCACAGGAGACTGAACCCCATGGTCTAAAGTCACCAGTAACAGTGAGCCAACAGATTGGCTAACTTTACATGATTCTTATATGAAAAAAAATGTAATTATGCCTTTCAGCAAAACATAGAAACATGAAACAAGATTTTCTGGCATTCTATTTCGTCTTCCTCATTTCCATGACATTCTCAGTTAGGTCTTCTCCAAGACTTTAATTATTTCTTTTTGAAGGGGGAATAGCAGATTTAGTAGTTCTAGTATTAACATCTTATCCCTCACATGAGTCCATCTTTAAAGTTATTCTGGAAGCATCAGCCAGAGAGAAGTAGCATTGAAAGCCAAATACAAGTGGCATTACCTGCTCTGAACAGGGACTCACAGCCCCTTGTCTCTGCTGCCTTCCAGATTTATAATCTTCAAAAGCACCAGCTTCTTGATTTCCAATCTGATGGGATTTAGCCTGATTCAAACCCCAGCTGTGTCCTGTCCCTGCCTGCTAAGGGCATTTAATCAGAGAATGTGCTTCCTCTCTGGAGAAAGACCATTCCAAGGTGCTGAGCCAAAATGCCCATCACAGGATCTGACTTATACACACTGAAAGCACAGAAAGGGTTACAGCAAAAGGTCATCAGATTCCATAACATCTCTAAGGCAGGAATGATGGTTGTTTCACTCTTCCAAGTTTTAAAGCCAAGAATGTAAGTATACGAGGTTGACTCACTAAGAAGTTAGATTTTATAAAGCTGATTAATATTCCCCATCAAGAAATCTTGAAAACCCAACAACCACTTCTTAACCACCTAGTCTGAGCCAGGCACAATTATAAGCACCAGTGATATATGCATAAGGTGTATACTTCTAACCTCCCTAGTTTCACTGTCTGGTGAGGGGGAGAATTGCCTAAGGATTTGTTACAGTTCAATACAAGATCAGGGACTTAGCCATCACCAGGACCATGTAGCCCCATTGTTCAACACATATACATACAGATGCTCAAAACACACTTTTGAATGAATGGATAAGCAGAGGCTGTTACAGAGATATTTAAGAAGTGCACTGATTGACAAGAGGACCAAACAACAAGTTGTACCTAGGGGAGTTAGATGAGGCTTCACTGGGCAGGTAAAAGGAGGGAGTTCTATCTAATCTTGACGGATGAATGAGATTTACCAGACAAAAAAATGCAAACAACATGCCAGGAAGTAAGGATGGCATGAATCAGAGACATGAAAGGCCTGACATCTCCAAGAAAAGGAAGAAGCTCGGTGAATAGGGAATAAAATGTATGTTTGGCAATTTGGGAATACAGAACTGGAGAAAGATGTTGAGGTCAGATGTAAGCCAAAATATTCAGATTGTTATCCTAGAAGCAACGCATCCAGTGGAGGTTGTAAAATAGAAAAGCTGTACAGAAACATTTTTTTTTCCTTAGAGAATCTCTGAATAGTAGGCAAGAGATACAAATCACTGAGACTCCCATTTTTTTCTTGTGCGTATTAGTGTGTATAATTTTTAACATTTGCTAAGAATACAATTATAATCTTATATTCTTAAAGTCATTTCTTTATTATGATAAAGAAACTTTTATAGAAACTCTAATCTAGTCCATAAAATGGAAATACAAATTCAAAGCAGTTTCCCTGGAACATCAAGCTGTTGGTAGATCCCTCTTAGCACAGCGTCCCCTCTCCAGCATCTAGGAGGTTGCCACTCTTTCTTACGGAAACAAAAAGCTTCTTGGAGATGATGTGTATTCTATCTTATATGATGAGGGTCTGACTTTACTTAGCATGTGCCATATGACAGGATCACCATGCCACAGCTAGTAATTGAAAGCCATATGACGGTTCTCCCTATCCAATTAGAAAACAAAGGATCCAATTAAGAAAAATTAGAAAAGCTGTTAAAAGGAAGCAATCATTTGCCAATGGTGCTGTCCTTACAGTTTAACACAGCTAGAAATTGACCTGTACTTCTCTTTTCCACATTTATTTTTGTGAATTATAAGTTAATCACCCTGTCAATTCCTAATTAAAAGGCCCTGCAAAGATTTCCATCCAAAAGGACTGTCACTAAGAGTTCTAGGTCAAATTGCTCTGTTGTTAAAAATGAGAAATAAAACCAAAACAATATCCAGTTTCTTCTGGGTTACTCAAATTCTTTCTTTTTTTTTTCCTGCTGTTGTTGGTTTTTGTTTTATTTTTTGTTTGTTTGTTTGTTTGTTTGTTTTCCTGTGGTGCTAGGGATGGAACCCAGGTCCTTATGTATGCTAAGTATGTCCTATACCACTGAGTTATGAACCTAGCCCAGGACTCAAATCTTAATATGCAAAATAAAAAAAATAGACTTTCCTTTCTTCAAATAATTACATTTTATTTCTTCGGTTGAAATGTACTTCTTATGGATAGATTTTTTTTCTCTTTCTTAATACCAAGGATTGCAAATGCAGATACTTAGTAGCCCAGGTGGGTAATATAAATGAGTAAAGAGGAGCAAGTCACAAGCACGATGAAGTGATAGCAGCTGGAGAAAGCTCAAGCTCCATGCCTGGCCAAAGGGCTGGTTTCTGCTCAGCTGGAGCCCATGTTGCTTATGTGGGAACGTGGGCCCAGTGTTGCCAGGTCTTCGGATCTTCATGAAAAGCCAGAATTTCAGTCTACATGGAATCTGATTTTTAAGGGCATGAAATAAAACATGTCTGAACAGACTCAGTTTAAGGGACTACATTTTTGTGATCTCAGTGTTAAACTTTCTTTCCATGCTGTAAAGCTTGCTCCCTAGAAAATGGTAGTGCATGAAGCATATTGTAGAACTAAGTGAATGAACCAGAGCAACCTTTTGAAAGCAGAACATAAGGAAGAACTTACTTTGGGAGAACTCACTGTTGACATCCTGGGGAAATCACTTACTCCATTTTGGTCTCAGTTTTCTCATCTAGTAGATGGGAAATACTTGTCTTATCTTGCCTCTCAGGACTATCTAACGGAATAGTGTGAAGGAAATATTTTAAAAAGGCAATACAGCATGAAATTATTAGTTGTCTCTAAAGGATGTAGGGACAAGTTAGCACTTACTGACCAACAATAACTTGATGTTCTGAAGACGATGAAAGGGGTTGGTGTGAGATCCTAAAAAGTCTTGAATGCCATATCAAGATGTGTTATCTTTCATCTCTAGTCTATTTTGAGAATCTGAAATACTGGGGAATAATATTGGCCAAATTATATTTTTCTATCATGTACATGCATGAATGTGTAGTGACAAATCCCATACAACTTTAATGCACCAGTAAAAAATATGAAAAAAAAATTGAGACCCTGAAGATCTTCTAGCAAGGAGAGGTAGGTAACTTTATCAGAGTTGAAAAGATTCTTGTGGAACGTTGTGAAGTAGAATTTGAAGCAGGAAGAAATTGTAGACTCAATTGCCAGGCAAAGGATTATTGCCATAGTACCGTTATTACAGATCTGAATTCAGACAGTGGCAACAGATAGATAAATTGATATTACAGAGCATCATCCAATGGACTTCCTAGAGGTTTTCTCACCACCTCTTGGTTATAGGTGCTGAGTACAAAGCACTATTCCTTGTTGCATGGAACTCCTTTAGCAGACTCACTTCTGACATTTCTGGTTTAATT